GTGTTTTCATAAAAAAAATTCATACAAATAATCTTGATATTAGAAAAAGAAATATTTTTTCTTTACAAAAATAATTTAAAGAATAAAATATATATTTTCAAAGTAATTAGTTTTTGTATATATCTATCTATTTTATTAGATGATTACATAAAATAATTAAGTAACATAAACTGATATATGTTTAATTGACAAAAAAATTATAATTAGTATATTTATTTGATTATAATATCTTACCGTTACAACAAAAAATATAAATTATATTTTACTTATATAATATAATTTCTCAAAAACAATCACATTTTTACTGCATATTTTAAGAGATATTAAAAACAAAACTAAAAATAAATTTAATGGTAAACATCTTTTGATCAGATAACTAAAATTCTTTTAAAATATCATAACACTATATAATTTAACGAGGTAGATATATTATATTTTAATAGTTAAAATTATATGTTTTCTCAATAACTCTTTTGATGTTTAATTTTCTGTTTTTATGTTTGTGGAATTTAATATAGCCATAATCAAAATACTTAAGAAAATTATAATTCTTATTTTAAAAATTATTTAAAATAAATTTCAGTTTACCATCCAATCAATCTAAGGCATAAATTATTTAAAATTTCTAAAATATTTAATTATTGTAAATATTGATATGTTTTCATAAGCTTCTAAAAATTTATTATTACTTATGTATGTAATTTAGAATCAGACACTTTAGTTTTTATTTTTTCGTTCTAAGCACAAAAAATATTAAAATACATAATCTTACTAAGATATACTTATATTTCTAAGATAACAACCAACATAAATGTAAATAAAACAATTAATCAAAAGTTTAAGATATTTAGAATAAAAAAGATTATAGTTGAATTCAGAGAAATAGATAGAATCCAATATATATATATATATATATATATATATCTCTATAATATTATTTGAGAAGTCACTTTCTTAGGTGTCGCGCTCACGTTAACTCTCACGCTGGTTGATTACTATGATACCCCTAATGAATTAAAAATACAATTAAATATTATTTCCTTTTTAGAAATTTCCAAATAATAATATAAAATAAAAAGGAAACCTTTATAAAATTTACAAAACTATTTAAAAACGAAAATATAAGTATATATAATATGATTTAATAAAAAAGGAAAGTTCACAAAATAGTAATATTTAATTTTAATATATTTGTATAATATTATTTGAGAAGTCAGTTTCCTACGTGTCGCGCTCACGATGGTTAATTACATAGATACTCTTAATAAACAAAAATATTAAGGGAGAATTTCAATTATACCACTTTAGTGGTACCATTTTTCATATTTACCATCAACAAAGAAACATTTTCAAAAATACACATTTTATTAAAGGATAAAAGACTCTTATATCATTATTCTTTATATATATACATAAAATACATATTAAATAAAATATTAACCCTAAACCCTAATACATCAATTCAAAACTCTAGACCCTAAAAAGTAAACCCTAAACTCTAAAAATCAACCCTAAACCCTAAAATATCAATTCTAAACCTTAAACTCTAAACCCTAAAATGTAAACCCTAAAATGTAAACCCTAAACTCTAAACCCTAAAATGTAAAGCCTAAAAAATCAACACTAAACCCTAAACTATCAATCCTAAACCCAAAACCCTAAATCCTAAATTCTAATAATATTTTGAGTATTAAAATTTTAGTGGTAAAGTTGGTTAGTGTAAAGCTGAAAAGTGGTATCTTGAAAGTGTTATTTCTGGCAATTTTCCAAATATTAAATAAGATTGATATTAATAATGTATTTCCTTTTCTCATAATAAGATATTACTTAATTTTTTAATTTATGTTTACTTTTTAAACACACATATACAAAAAAAAGAAATATTTCTTAAATAAAAATATTTATATATAAACGAAATTAAATATTTTTTCGAAATTTTCATAAAAAAAACATTTTTAGTGTTTATTTAAGAGATATTAAAAATAAAATAATTTTTTTAACACAAATAAATATTTTGATCAAATAATTTCAAATTTTTTTAAATAGCGTAGCACTATACACTATTAATGAAATGAAAATATAATATTTTATCATTATTAAAAATTCTTTTTAATATATAGTTTGCTTTTTAATTTTATGTATTTCATGTTTATGGAACTTAATAGATAAATAATCAGAATACTCAAGTAAATCTAAGTTCTCATTTTTAAGATTGTTTAAAAAATTTCAATTTACCTTTTAAGAAATCTAAGGTATAAAATAATTTAGAATTTATAAATATTTAATTATTGTAAATATTAATATGTTCTCATGAAATTTCAAATGTTTATCTTTATACTCATATTTATGATTGTAAATTCTTATTGATCGTCACTTNAAGTAAATCTAAGTTCTCATTTTTAAGATTGTTTAAAAAATTTCAATTTACCTTTTAAGAAATCTAAGGTATAAAATAATTTAGAATTTATAAATATTTAATTATTGTAAATATTAATATGTTCTCATGAAATTTCAAATGTTTATCTTTATACTCATATTTATGATTGTAAATTCTTATTGATCGTCACTTTATTTTTTAATATATCTTAAAAATCAACATATGTCCAATTATTAAAAATCTTATAAAATACTTGCATTAAGCGGTAAATAAAACTAATTTGATTTGATTTAATTAGAAAAATATATATAACTCAATATACTCACAAAACGAGTAGTGGAACGAATCTAACTTATATCAAAAATAAAAGATCTAACTACAACAAAAATATATAATTTTAGAATAATTATTTATTTATTTTTATACATATAGATTACAGGATGACTCAAAAATATCAATATAGAAAAAAAAATTATTAACCAACTGGTATAATTCAGTTTTTTTTGTAAAATTTATATAAATATGAATGAGACTTCAGAATATTATCGTTATATTCATTTATATAATTTTTTGTCAAAATTTCAGTTTATTTTAAATTTCATTATAAGCATAATATATATTAAGTTATACCTAATCTTATTAAAATATATTTACATATATAAGACGATAACCAATCTAAATACAATAATAATTAAAGTTTTAGCATATTTAGAAGAAAAATATTATAGTTGAATTCAGAAAAATAGATGCAATCTAAAATACACAAGTGTAACCAAATCGAATATTGACCAAAAAAGCAACCTAACCGATAAAATATAACATTTACTAAATCATATGTCTAATTAAAATAATCTAATATTATTAATATAAGTTATACATATAAATTATAAATTAATTTATAATTAAAACTAAATATCTATGTAAATTAATAAATTAGAATATATTACAATATATTTACTTGATAAATATTCATATCCGTGCATGAGCACGGGAAAATCACCTAGTATATATATATATATATATATATATATATATATATATATCCAAATGATAAACTAACTAAATATAATATATCTAAAATTATATATAACTAAAATAATATAATATTATTAATCTAGTTATACATAAAAACTATAACTTAATATAAAAGTTAAAGTAAATATCAATCAACTATTATAGTATATTTATTTTATAAATATTTATGCCCGTGCATGAGCACGGGAAAATCACCTAGTAAATTATTAAATAAAAATAATATATACTGATTTCCATATATAACCTTTTCCTTTTTTTGAGAAAGGGCTGAAAATACAAACACTTTTCACAAGAAACGTGGAAAACTTCTCAACCTATTGTAGAATTTTGTTTCATGATTATTTTTTCTTGGCTATTTTTTACATCAAATTAACACAATTATCTTGGCTTTTGTTTTGACTACCACAGTTTTCTTGGCTTTATATCAGTTTTCTTGTAAGAATATATAAAATACCTATATAACAATAATAGAGAAACTTAAAGAGAACCGTAGAAGAACTTTGGTCAAGTTTTTATTTAAAGGAAGTAAAGTTATACATGTTAACAAATACAATTCAAACTTTTGACTTTATATATGTAGTATTATAAATGATGAATAATATAATACACAAGTGATACATAAACATTTTGAGACTGCATACTTGAGATATTGTGGTCGTACGTACGTACTACTGTGTAATGTGTATACTTGATATTGTGGTTATAAGTACTAGAAGTCTGTTCAAAAAAGAAAAGAAAAAAGTACTAGAAGTCACGTCTTCTTTTGTCGTTGTAGCTAGGAATAGTTTAGTCTACATGATCGAAATTGGAGTTCTTGTTATTGTGATTTGTAACATCACAAAAAACAAGAGAGTCAACTCAGGGTATTAAACTCGACTCCACAACGAAACTTATTCCACTTACATTAACTATAGAATATGTTATCACATAGCAGTATCGTTTTAACGTTTCGTGAAATGAAAAGGTCATAAAGGAAAGTGAAGAAACTTCTGGAAAGAGAGAGAGAGGAAGCCACCTACGCTCTTTCTTCTCGCACATTCCTATACTCTTTCCTCTCTTGTGGACCCCTTCACCTTTTTAATTACTATTCTACCCTTTTCTTTCTCCATCTCATTTCTATTTTAAATTTTTTCTTTCTTTCTTTCCTTCTGGAACTTCCGATCTGTTGTCTCTCTCTCATATCTCTCTCCCTCATTTTTTTCTCTTTCTTATCACTTGCCAGAACCTTCTAGAACTTATAAAGACAGAACTCAATCTCTCTCTCTCACATGTTAGAGATTCGTCACGGACTCTGTCTGGATTGTATCAATCTCTTTGTTGGTTGGTAAAAAAAGATTTGTTTCTTTTTATTTTGTTCTTCCCGGGTATTTCTGGATTTGGTTTAATGGCTATGAGAAGAAGCTTATGAAAACAAAAAGCTTTACTACCATTCCTCTTCTGCGTCTACTCTATCTGTAATTTGGATCTCATTGGTATATATTCATCATTTTCTCTTTCAGTTTTCTTTTCATGATTTTTCTCAAATCTAACCATCAATTTGTGGATTGAAAAAATTCAGGTTTTTGAGGAGTGTGTGGATCTTAAACTCATGCCTGGGGAACAGACCGGAGAAACTCCAACGGCTGCCGGAGTTGGCGGCGGCGGTGGTGGTTGCAGCGCCGGAAACAGTGGCGGAAGCAGTGGATGTGGCCCTGTCGGTGGTGGTGGTGGAGGAGATTCACAGAGGTCTATTCCGACGCCGTTTTTAACGAAAACGTATCAGCTTGTTGACGATCCGGTTTACGACGATTTGATCTCATGGAACGACGACGGATCAACGTTCATCGTATGGAGACCAGCTGAGTTCGCGAGAGATCTTCTTCCAAAATACTTCAAACATAACAACTTCTCCAGTTTTGTCCGTCAGCTCAACACTTACGTGAGTTACTTTCCTTTCTTTACCATTTTTTTGTGTTGTCTGAATCTTGTTATCGGTCTAGTAGTGATTCTGATTTTTGGTTTAATAATACGGTTTAGGGGTTTCGAAAAGTGGTTCCGGATCGTTGGGAGTTCTCTAACGATTGTTTCCGGAGAGGCGAGAAGATTCTCCTACGGGATATCCAACGCCGGAAAATCTCTCAGCCTGCTATGGCAGCCGCAGCTGCTGCAGCTGCGGCTGCAGTAGCGGCGCCAGGTGTTACCGTTGCAGCTGTTCCTGTCGTACCTCACGCTGTCTCTCCGTCAAACTCTGGAGAAGAACAGGTGATTTCCTCTAACTCATCACCTGCTGCTGCTGCGGCTGCTTCAGGAGGAGGAGGACAGGTTGGTGTGGTTCTTCAGAGGACGACGAGCTGCACCACCGCGCCGGAGCTTGTTGAGGAGAACGAAAGGTTAAGGAAGGAGAATGTTCAGTTGAGTCGAGAGCTGACAAAGCTTAAAGGATTGTATTCGAATATCTACACGCTCATGTCCAGTTTCACGTCCGGTCAAGCTGATTGTGCACCGGAAGGGAAAGCGTTGGATTTAATGCCTGAGAGACAAGCGATGAGTGAAGACATGGGTGTGGCTTCTGGAACAGATGCAGCAGGGATTGGTCTGAAGCTAGATGAGGACTTGACACCTAGGCTGTTTGGGGTTTCGATTGGGGCGAAGCGAGCTAGGAGAGACGAGTTGGTTACTGCAGAAGAAGAGGATGATGAGCGACGAGAAGGGAGTAACCAAGAGGGAGAACAACAAGGCTCTGATGTTAAGTCAGAGCATATGGATGAGGATAACTCTGAAGAACATAACGGGCCATGGCTTGAACTCGGGAACTGACCGGGGAAAAACGCTGGTTTCCATTGAATTAGACAAGCCATTGAGCTGACAAGAGCAGAAAATTGAAGCAATGTTTGGTTATCAGAACAAAAACTCTTGAATCTTTCACAGTTTAGGAGAACAAATATTCATTTGTTTGGGGTGCAAGAAAAACACAGATCCTACTACTACCATCCTGAGTTGCTCCTGATCTCTGATGTCGCGTCTTGAATCTTCTTCTTGATGGAACTAAAACTACTCTGGCTCGTTAGGCTCCAGCGGGTGGATGTGCTTCTCACGATTTCAGATAAAACAGGGAGATTCGAAGTTGGATCTTCATACTCTGCAAAATACAGGACAAACCAGTGTTTTTTTAGATTTATTAGCAATGTTTGTTATAGATTTATTATGTTCTTCTAGTTAGAACAATTGTACTCTAGTTGTATGATGATCATGATGGTGAAAATTGTTATTTATAAGGTAATAAAAGGATAGTTCAAGTCTGATTTGTTCTGTTACAAAGTCTTACCTGATGACATAGGAAACTCGTACTGGCGCTTTAGGAATTTAGAGGCGGTTCGGTCTTTCTTGTGGCAAAGAACTCTGACTAGTGTTTGTGCGTCTTCCAAGCGCCGTTGCTCAGAACTCACTCCCATGTCAATGAGCTCGCTCGCAGTCATTAGCATCTGTATCAGCATTTCACTCTGCCACCGAGAGAGAGCATATAACCGAAAGATGTTAGTACCTCAGATTTTCTGTGAAAGGGAACTAACTAACTTTGAAAGTGAAAGGAAGACGTTTACCTCTAAAGAGAAAGGGAACTAACTAACTAACTTCGAAAGTGAAAGGAAGACGTTTACCTCTAAAGAGTACAAGTCGAGGATCTCTTTAGCCTGTTTTGCTTCTTGCTCAACTAGGGAACGAGGAAGACCTTCTCCATCAGCGATGAAGAACTCCTACCACAATGCATGGCAAAGGTCAGTGAACTCCCATATCCATATGAATAGATAGTCTCCACCATAATAGTACAGAAATTCAAAATAGGAATGTAAATTACCCACCTTCAAAATACTGAGATCTTCTTCCATTAAAGGTATGTCTGAATCCGAAAATGCACGGGTTGGACCTCCATCAAGTAGTACTCGAACATAAGCTTCCTGTGTGAGAGAAGCATAAGGTCTTGGTAAGCACAACAGAAGTTGGAAGTTTTCTTGCTTGCACACATATATACATGTGAAGGGGTAAAAGAAATGTTACCAACGCGGATCTACAGATGCTTAAAACCACCATATCTCGCGAGTCTTCATAACTCAGACTGCATACATTATCAAGCACCTGTGCAATGCATTTCTCAGTGTAAGTTCATGCTTAATAGAAACGGGTGAATCAGGGAAAGAGATGATTTTTGTTTACTGTATCAATGTGAGGAAGTAGTCTTTCCAAGCGGGCACCTTCGACTGTGCCATTGTACAATTGTATTAGGAACATGTCTCTCAGATCCCAAAAGATTACTCTTGCCCCTGTTAACAGAGAACCAATAAATACAGAAAATAGAGATAGACCGAATTCTTTGTTCTCTTTAACGCAAACTCTTCAAGCGACACGATCCATTAAACATTCACTCTCATCATCAGGTAATACCAGTAGAACATGATTCATATGTATGGCTATCATGAAAATCTTAGATAATGACATATAATTTGCTAATACACCTTCTATGTACGTCTACAAGATAGTATAAAATGCTAATCCATCTTCCTTGTGAATAAGCAGATTATTCAATCAGACAACTTAACTTCTGACGTTAAGGTTGCAGGGAACAGGTTCAGTTTTGACACTTTCTCATTTTATCTCAAATACAAAGTACTACAGATGAACATGAGACTTTCTATCAGCTTACCAATTAGGTCCCGGGTTTTGGTTATGCAATTGGCATTGGTTTCCCTGAGGCTATCATAGGTGGTAGAAAAAAGTTCATCAACAGCTTCACTATGGGTCAATGAATTCTCCTCTTCAGCTTCGTCAGTCTTGATCTCTGAAACAAGATCATACAAATCAAATGAACCCGCCAGTGCACATTTCAACACACGGAAACAACCAAAAAAAAAGATAAAAAGAAGTCCATTCCCAAGCGGATGATCTTACTTGATCTCTGGTCAAGAAAGGATCGGACAAGTGTCAAAGATTTCCTTATGCCATCTTCTGTTGCACTGATTTGTTTCTGAATATACTGATTCATTAACACAGTATAGGTAAAACGTCGCATTGTTTAGTTTTCATGGAGAAACTATAAAGGTTTTAGCTTGTAAAGACAAACTTACGCAGAGTGTATTCAATCTTATGCAGAGTTTCGGTATTGTAAGTTCATCCAATTTCTTAACCATTTTATTATCTGGCTCTGCAAACTCGAGCGACTTCCTCTTCATCGCTGGCATTACACCCTCTGTGAATCGAGTCAAAGGAGGAGCTGACGGATACAGCAGCTTCTTGTCAACTGCATAATAGTATTTTTCATGGTAGTGCAAGAACAAGACTCAGTAACAACGGTAAGAAGATGTGGAGTTGGTCAGTACCTAGTTGATCGTAAATTCTCTGAAGATAAGTATCCAAGCTATGGTATATTATTGAGAGAAGAGCTTGAAGATGTGTGATATCAACAGGTAGATGTAAACCAAACAGCTGAGACACAGTCTGCAAAGAAAGTGAGATGAGAAACTAAAATGGAAATTATATAGTTCAGTGCTGACAATAAATGTGGAGAGAATCATACTAGAAGTAAAGCAAGTACTTAAACAAAACCAACATGTAATTCCAGAGGCAACCCAAAGCGAATAAACATGGTTTCGGATAGTGACTAGTTTTATATGGTCTGGGGCTGCTCTAGTGCTCTTAAGCTACAACAGTTTGCATACTACTGCTCATAAATGATGTCATGATTGTACATAGATATACCTCTTCTATGATCCTGAAAATTTCAACGATTGATGGAGCATGTCTCTGATGAACTGATACAGGCTCCCATTCCTGCTTATAGAAAAATCATTATAATTATTTTCATGTTTCCATCTTTTGGACATAAAAGTCTACATCCGCTTAAGATTTGTTTGGTTGTGAAAGTTATGCGAAGTCTGTTACATCTTTCCGACTTCACGGATCCTTCATTTATCAGTATGTATTATGATTTTAGAACCATACATGCTGCAACTTTTTAAAGAGTTTCTCAATACTGTTCAGATGAGGTTTAAGTGATCCATCAAATAAGTTCCCCTTATGACGAAACATTAAACTCTATCAACAGCAATAAAAATGTAAATATTTTCCAAAGAATATATAACCTCTTTTGATCAAAAAAAAAAAAAAAGAAAAGAAAATATAACCTCAATTTCAAAAGCTCGCCTAGTCCATTGCAAGATATGATCATGTTGAGATATAAGCCAGTCCAGCATTACTGGTTTGACAACCTTTTCTATCTGCACACAGACCATAAAACTGAGAACTGATATAGTTGTGTTCTGAAACTCAATATCATATAAGAGCTATCTTTTCAGTGACCTCGTAATTCTTCAATTTGTGGAGGTAAGGTTTGTACAACTTGGATTTGCTATGACAATTATACAGTTGAGTTAACGCTTCCTCTAACATATAAGCAGCAGGAACTACTTTCCTAACATCACCAGAGAGGGATGAAACCCCTTCTAGAAAAGGCGCCTGTTCCAGTAAAAAAAGATCAATCATAAATATATATACCAGAGACAAACTACAAACCCTTGAATACTGAAATGCTTAGAGACAAACCAGTCTTTCTCCATAAAACCGATGCAGCAGCATGGCTGAGATCATCATACATTCGGGTAACCATTTGGAAAAAACTGGGACAAACTCATTGATCTCTGCCTTTGCAATAATACTCAGTTCATCTGCAAGCAGAGCTAGAGCATGCGTGCGCTCACCACGAGATTTCACATACGCAAAATGTGCTGCCTGGGAGGAGAAAAATATTGATTTTTAAGTATATGTTTACACGATATGATTTGAGAGATAAAATACAAAATAACAATATAAGATAAAAGCTTACCCTGGCACATGCACCTTTAATAGAATTCTGAACATAGGACTGTATCTTATCACCAACATCATCACTCAATGTGTCTAGCTTGATAAGCTGCAACAGAAATTGATACCGTATCAACAATGATCATTGGAGCTTTCCTCCACATCACAAGCCCACACTAGATAATGCATTTCTTCTTTCTACACCCAGCTAAAAATGCTTTTTCATTACAACCTAACGCTTAATGCATAAAAATGTATAGTCATGCCAGAAAAAAAATGTAGCCACGGCTAGTTAATTGTACTGCAGAAAAGCACATGCTAATAAGGGCCCAATTAGGAGAATTATGGCAGGCAGCACTCTTTCAAGACATGTAGTAATGCCAACCTCAGTTCTCGTACTGTCAGCTGGAGGAAGCCCAACCGTTGATGCCAATCTGACAAGCATTCCAAAATCCCGAGGTTTCTGAGGAGAAATAGAAGATAAATAAACTTATTAAAGAATAGTGTTTATTATGTCATGACAGAATTGCAAAAACGAATGATATACCTACAAATAGATGAAAACAAGTATTTCATTTGAGAAAATAAGTAGTAGAAAAAAAATCCAATGATCTTGATTACCAGGAAAAATAGCAACTTACACGCTAACCGACTTACATATAAGAGTTTTTGCCAGAAAATTTGAAAAGAATAAGCAAAATCATGTATATATTCAGGCGTTATAACAGATCGAGAACTGACCTTACCAAAGTGTAGATGGTAGTCCTGAAGTTTATCATCACACCAAGCACTAACTGAAGTGAAAATTGCCTTGGTGATACTTAAGTGTATGTCACCTCCAATGGTTTGCCTCGAACATATTAGACGGCTTAGATAAAGATCCTCCTTCGGGTTGCCCTCTTCGGTGGAAGTAATTTTCTCTAACTCCTGAATTGCGCTTCCTAGAAGAGAAGGTTCACCTGTGCTCA